TTAAATTTTAAATAATTAAAATTTAAAATTAAAAATCAAAATTAAAAATTAAAATTACTAATTAATTTTTAAAACTAATATTTAAATTTTCAAAATTAAGTAATTTATAAAACTACTTAATTCTTTTTTGCAAAGTTAAAACTACTTAATTTTATTTTAGAGTTTTTAAATTTTTAAAAAATCAGATTAAAAAATTAAAATAACAACAATATTAAACAAAATATAAGTTATTTTTAGAGAAATATTTTTTCCCATAATTTACAATTATGATTCATTATATAGAGTATCTCTTAAAGAGACAATTCTTTGAGTTCCAGCTCCAAATTCTAAAGTTAAAATATACAAATAAAGAGATTTTATAAGTTTAGAAAAATATTTTCAAGTTACATTGCATAATAAAAATGTAATTTAAATATTAAAATAACGAAAATACTTTTAATAAAATTTTTTCCTCATGTTAATTTATTGATATTTTGTTTTTGTCATTTATATGCCTCAACCTGAAAACATAAGATTCTTATAAGAGTAAGATTTTATTATAATGTAGTACATAAATTGTGAGAATTATTTTTTATTTTAAAACTCCATTATAAGTACTAAATTATAAAGACGTTTGATCTGACTGTACTAAATTCTTAACAAATATTAAAGTTTTAACCGTTGTACCAATCGCCTTCCAACCCTCCTTTCCCCAAATGCCTTTGTTTAAAAAATATATATATAAGCTATAAGGAGGTTTTTCAAACAATTTTTCACGCGAGAGACAAACCTGGGTCCTTTTTTCTTGGTGTCAGAGGGGACAGAATTTAATTCTCACCGGTCAACAGTGAGGCACCATAAAAAGGAAATTTATTCATTGAAGAAACACCACGTGAAAACATCCTGGGAGCAAGATACCTCCTTGTTTAGAAAATCAAATCCTTCCAAACACATGCAGTATTATATTCCATTTGCTAGCTAGTCAAGGCTGCTATTTTTTGACCATTCGTCACATTCCTACATGTATATATTAATAAATCACTACTTAACCTCTCGGTTTCAGCCATGGCAATGCCATTCTCCAATGGCTTCCTCATTCCTCCTTTTCCTCTTCTCCATTGCCATTGTCTCCCTTTCATCCTCAAACAATGCAGCTGCATTAACAGATCCCAAGCCTAAAGCCCTCATCCTATCAGTGGTAAAAGACATTAGAACCTTACAATACTACACCATTTTTAACTTTGGAAGTGATTACAACTTTTTCAATGCGGTCATTGATTTAGGCAGGCCCTTCTTGTGGATCAACTGCGTCTACAAGTCATCCACTTACCGTCCAGTCCCTTGTGGCTCCGCAAAAATGCCAGGCCGTTGGTGGTCTTGGATGCTTGAGTTGCAATGGGACTCCACGGCCCAGATGTACCAACAACAACTGTGTCATTAGTCCATATAACTCATTTATTAATAGACTCTTGGCAGGTGGTCTAGGCAAGGATGCGTCTACTCTATACTCAACGGGTGGTACCAATCCCACGACGATTGTAACCGCAAAGCACTACCCTTTCGTGTGCGGATGCAGATCAAATAAAGGGTTTGGCTAACCGTACTTAAGGGTCAAGGGATTATTGGCTTGGCCAGGACTCAACTTTCAGCCTCCACACAGCTCTCTTCAGCATTCAACATTCCGCTCAAGTTTGCTATTGGTTTGCCTTCAACTGAGTCAACAGACGGATATCTCGGAGACATTTTCATAGGTGGTGATCCTTATAATTACAAGATGCTTAATGATACATATAAAGATATGTCTAAGACACTTACAAAAACGCCACTAGTGACAAACCCAGTAAGTACAGCTCCCATTTATTCAGAAGGTGAGGCTTCATTTGAGTACTTAATCGGAGTAAAATCAATCAAAATTGATGAGAAAATCGTTTGGTTCAATTCCTATTTGCTGTCCTTTGATAAGGAAGGAGTTGGTGGGACGAAACTCAGCACCATATTTCCTTACACCGTTTTGCATACTAGCATATATAAAGCTCTTGTTAAGGACTTTGAGAAGAGGGCTGCGTCTAAGAAGATTGCTGGAGTCACACCGGTGAAACCTTTTGGTTCATACTTCAACTCAAAGACAATCCGTAGCACGGTGACCGGGCGAGATGTGCCAAAGACCGATCTGGTTCTGCAAAGCAGCAGTGTGCACTGGAGGATCTACAGGCATAACTCAATGGTGAAGGTGAAGAAAGATGTCATGTGTTTGGCATTTGTGGATGGAGGATTGAATCCGAGAACGGCTATTGTTATCGGAGGACATCAGTTAGAGGATAATCTGCTGCAGTTTGATCTTGCTGCTTCAAAGATAGGATTCAGCTCTCCTCTCCTGCTCAAAAATACAAACTGCTCCCAGTTTAGAACTGTTATCTTTTGATCATATCCTGTCATTTTTCAAAGGATGTATTCTTCTTTAGCAGATTCAGCATTTATACTTTATCAATAACAATAAATGTAGTTGGAATTGATGCAGAAAATCCACCTACTTCATTAGATAGAATCAGTCCTCAATCTATTAATTCACCTCAAACTTTCACTTGGATCATAAATAATATAAAATTATAGCCAGCACCGGACTTGAGCTCAAAGGCTAATTAACAACATAATATGGAGTCTCTCTTAACTAATTAATATCCCAAGGCTCAAGATATATGATGAGGGCAGATCGAATGGGAGCAGAGTCTGTAAAAGGAAATGGTGGGGGCAAGAGAAGACAGAATGAACCTCGTCAGGATTTGGGATTTTCTGTTTATAAATAAAAAGGGGCAAGGGTATAATGGACTTGACATCAAACTTGCTCATCACAACCCGATGGGTTCCATTTCCGTGGCAATTTTCAGGTTCAACATAAAAACATACTGCATTGCCAATTCTAGCTTAACCTGGAATGAATTCTGGGTTTGGGTTCGAAGGAACCCTTTTTGTAGAGTTTGGAAGATAGTTGTCCTGCCTCTTAATCATGTGAATCTCCCAAGAAGAAGAATTGATGTTGTTGCCAAATGCAGGAGAAACTTCATCATCCAGCCCTGTAAAAGTTCTTGCACTCTCTCCATCTCATGTATTAATAGTTTAGATACGTTAGATGAGAGTTTCTAGCTCAAACAACGACGTGACTAAACCACAATGCTTCATATTTTGTATCCAATATTTTATAGTGCAATTCTCCAAGTTCGTCAAGCAATGGGGAATGATCAGTTTGAAAAAACCAAAAAAAAAAAAAGAAAAAAAAAGAAAGAAGGGTTTCAACTCTTATCCTACACAAGTAATTGATTTGCAATGCAATGCAATCCAATGCCCTTTTCTTCTAATCGCTAGCTATGATCTGTAATTCTCGGGTGGTTGCTGTTGTGGCCACATTTGCCGAGCAACATAAGGACGAGGCTGTTGACCATAAAGAGCTTGGTCCGTAACACTCATACCTGGAGCGGCAACCTGAGGATCAATCTGAGGTGGCATGTAATAGTAAGGAAGACCATCAGCTGTTGCGCTAACCCCTGGGACTGAAGCAAGTACCTCATCTTTTAAATCCTCTCTTGGGACAATATCAACCAAGAAATCATATAATTCTTCCCTTGAGATTGCAGCTGCAATGTCATTTTTCTGGAGTGTACGCCTCTTATTCTCTTCAGTGTGACTCCATGAGCGCAATGTCAGCTCTAGAATGAACATTTCACAGGCCCTCGCGAAAACTATCGGAGCTTCAGCTGATATCATTTTCACATCCTCATCTGCCTTCATGATCTTCTTAATCCTAGCCAGTGGTAGACTATGATTCTTGAAATCAGTAACATGTTCAATTTCTTGACACTGATTTTCCCAAAACTGCCGGAGCTGCTGTTGCAATTGTTGTTGCTGTTGTTGGTGGATTTGTTGATAAGCAAGTTGTGGTTGTGCAAGCTGAGATGAAGGGGCAGAGAGCCCTGAAGGCTGGATAGGAGGTTGGATTGAGCCAACCAATCCAGGGGCAGTTATTCCCATCATCTGGTTATGTTGGTAGGGATTCACACCATATGACATAGGAGCTGCAGTACGAACCACACCACTGGCCGAGGTCTGCTCAGACTCTTGCTTAGACATAGAATAGAGACTTGAACTGCTTCAAAATTATAAATGGAAAGAAGAAATCATTAGAGAAAAGTCTCTATCTTTGATATAAATACTAGAGTATTGTGATCAGCTAACAAGACATGATCAATTACTAATCTGTGCTTGCAAATTACAAAATGAAGAAAAAAAAAATACTCATGCACTTCACAGAGATGCCGACAAGGGTGTATCTCAACTAGTAAAAGTTTAAGATTCTAAGTTAGATGTCTCAAGTTCAAACGTTGAAAATAACAAAGAAAAATTCAGGAAAATGGAGGGTTATACCTGTTGTATAATCCATCATCAGCAGATGTACAAAAGATAAAAGAATCTGCAATCCTCTAGGGGATGTCCCAGTGGGTTAAGAGCTTAGCTTTAAGTTAAAGATCTTGAGTTCAAAACCCAATATGGGTTGAGAGGGGAAGAACTATCCAGTATTGTATATCTAACCATAAAAATGATAACATGTACAATAAATAAATAAATAAATGCATCTGCAATATGTGACGCAGAGGGAAAACTTCCAAAGATTCATAACTAACTGCAGAGTCACGGATTGTTTTGCATGCTACATAAATCTGGTGAAGAGGGGAAGAATGACCTGACTGGTTCTTTATGTTTAAAAGGAACCTAAAGATGCAGACAAACCCTGTCGTTGACCTTGCTATAGCAACCTGCCTGTTTTATGCTTGTTCTGTACCTCCTATGTTCTGACCAACCACTAAAGCACTACAAATTTTGGAAATTTCAAGATTTTCAGAACTAGAAACAAACTTCGGACTAAGGAAGAATGGTTTTTCTAGGTCTAACAATTTTGAGTATTCATATTAGAGATACGAAATTGAAACCTTAAGACAGGTAAAGTTAAGGGATTTGAGAACTATACTATGCTATCCACGCAAACATCTATATGCTTAACATCAACTACATAGATACATGTCCATGCTCGTAATTCAAATCCTACAATAAACTCTGTAACTAAACTAAGTTTAAACAACAGCTTTAACAATTACATAAAACATAAAAAAAACAAAAATTAACAAGAGCTTTACAGATTATACAAAACATAAGACACCACCAAAAAAGAAAAAAAAATCAAAGTTCGATTCTTTTGAATTAAAGACACAAAGTTACATACCTTGTGCTGCTCTGTTTCTTGGATTTCTCAGAGCCTTAAACTGAAACCCTGAAAATTTAACAGAAAAATTAGTAAGAACACTAAAAAAAAGTAGCGTAAACCTAAGAAGGAAATAACGGGGGATTAAAGAGGTAGAATTACTTGGGAATTTCAGAGGTTTAAGGAGGGATTAACTAAAATTTTGGGGAGCAAGAAAATTTAAAGAAGATAGAAGTAGAAGATGAGTTTTTCTTTTGGTAGAAGAAGTAAGAAGAGGAGTTGGTGAATAAAGAAGCGCCAGTTTGGTTTTAGTCTTGTGCTTCACTTTGGGGTTTGACCTTTTTCTCTCACTATTTTGGCCCATTATTAAGAATCCTAATTACGTATAAAAAGCACTCAGAAGATAAAAAATAGTCAAGTGGAATTTTATAGAATCGTCTACGTTCATCCCCTCCCACTTCTTTCTATGTATAAATAATGGGTAATGAGACGATTTGTCATATGCTTTAATTTAAATGTGAGAGTTATTTATATTTTTAGTTATAAATTTAAAGTTTAAT